CCTGAATCTAGAAATGAGATTTACACAAATAAAAGAAATGAAATTTTCACATCTTTGAATGAACATTTTTCTGTTACTTACACCTTACCAACCAATTTATGGACATAGGGTGGCCTAAAACCAACCATCCATGTGATTGGTCCCACTTTGTATGTACAATTTAGGAAACACAAGCACCTTGGGTATTATACCATACATAAAATCACCTCTCTCTCATGTCTAAGGGCCGTGCATATTAGTGTTCTACTTGAATAAAAATAATGTCTATAAAAGATAGGAAAAGATTCTTATGTTTTACATAAGAAAAGAAATAAAACACATCTTTTTGATATGTGACAAAAAGAAAATCATGGAAACAATATTTCCCTCCATGCATATTGTGCCTTTCCCCATATGTCTTGGATATAATGATCACACAAAAATTAACAAGATCTCCCCAACATGTATATTCCTTTGCATATTTCTTCATAGTATCCAATGCCTCCAGATTCTAAATGTGATTAAGAGGGGTAGTGAATATTTAATTGAAAAAAAAAATGGATGATGATAAGTTTTCATGAAACAGGAGCACAAACCATTTCTCATCCCTCTTTAGAAATAAAAGGTGAGCCTCTTTAAGTGAATCAACGAAAACTGGTGGCTATTCTCTCCCTTGCCACATATGTTCAACAGTGGTCTGCATTAATCACCAAACTTGAATCAACCACCAACTCAAGGCCTTATATGATGTTTTATTTTAAATCTATTTGACTTCAATATCCAAACCTTTGCACAAAATTTCAAACCAAAGAAACACTTGTCGAAGTATATATTGCCTACATCTCTCCTACATTTCTCTTCTTGTTTGGCTCCGATTTTCTATTAAGATTGATAAATCCGAGCTTCTCTGAAAGTATAAATAACAATGAAGCTAACCATTGTGAAAGTTATAATATAGAGGTAGCCATGCAATAGACCAAGTGTGAAAACAACTTGAAGCTAAGAGGCCCTGAATATATATATATATCCTTAAAACTTCATATTTTGGAAGAATAGAGGAAAATTTCCTAAAAGAAATAGAAAATAGTTATTTGATTTTAAAATAAGCAACTTTTCAATTACAATATGTGATTCTTTGGTATAAGACATGTCAATTGGTAAATTAGTTCATTTCTCACACCCAAAAAAAATAATAATAATAAGCAAAAGAATGATTGACAAGGTACAATCCACTATCATTGATTACCATTAAATCAAGGTTAAGCATGCAAAAAAACAGTCATAACAAATAAACACTTTTCAACTACCATTTAGGTTTCATTCGCTTTTCGGTAAGTTGTTTATCCGGGTAAATGCAATTACATGGGTAAGTTTTTCCTCGGAAATACTTACCCATGTAAGTGCATTTATCCATGTTCTTTTATTTCTTAGGTAAACAAGGCAATGACTATTTTAGCCATAAAATTCTATTATTAAAAGGGGCATTTTTGTCACATTCAAGTGTTGGCAACCTTCCCACTAGGTGGAAAAAAGTTATTTGCCCACCTAGGAGATGGGTATCACTTATACGGGTAAGTGATACCCGGGAAAACAAACTTTCCCTGGTCCCCACATAAATATGAAAAATAAATATGTGATTCTTGGTCAATGGGAACCAAAATCCCGTTGACCAACTTTCCCCCCTCTCAAAATCCCAAAAAAGAACGCCCCCTTAAGATAAATTACATATAGTTTAAGGGGTCCAACTATGATATTGGAAAACATCTTGCTATGACTATTTCTATCCAACTTAGTAAGAAATTCAGCATTCCCAAATAACATTTGCATGCCCCAACACCATCGAGGATACAAATGAAAAACCAATCAGAATATTAGTTATTAATAAAAGTAATTTTAAATAGATTCCATCCATCTTTTGCCTATTTCAATCAAGAAACACATGCAAATACCCACAAGATACATACTAAACTCCCTGAAAATTTCAAACACTTCTATATTAATTGCCTCCTCAAAGTTGATGCAAATCTAAGCTATCAACCATACTCTCTCTCTCTCTCTCTCTCTCAACTTGCAAGATGCAGTCCCTACTTCCCCCCAATTACAAATTCAGGCCAGAAAACAGTTGATAAAAAAAAACAACAACAATAATACCAACAAAATCCAGTCTTCATTCCACGTTTTTTGGAAAACACCCTATCAATCATAAAAAATATTAATAATTATAATAAATGAGTTTCTTCCTAGGATCATAGATTATATGAGGTTATTTGGATTCATGATGTATATATGCAAACTAATCTTGTGAGGAGAGAGAGAGATCATCTAGGGTTCTTTCCCAGACTCGAGACTTTTTGGAAATTGATGGGGAAGGAGATGTTTTGGAAGTCCAAACGTCTCTTCCTTTCATTGGTTATTTGCACAGAAAATTAGAAAATTAAGTTAATTAACCTTACATGAATGAAGTTGATTAAAAAATGAGGAGTGCTTGCCATTTAATTGAAAGGGCTCATACGTGTAAAGACTCAGAGGCCAAAGCGCTCCGTGTGAAGCTTGTGGTGAGATCACTTGCCTCCTAATCTTTCCTCTTTGTATTATACCTTATAACTCTTTTACCCCTTATTTTCTCTCCAATTTTCAAAATACACCATAAAATTTTTCAAAATCATGTGAGTGATGAGTGATGGGTATACCAGACTGTCTCAACCCAAACTCAGCCAACATGTACAAGTACATGATGAGTGGTGATGCCCAGAATATACCTAGCTTGCAAATGGAAGTAATAATCATATCCATTGTTGCAAATGGAAGTAGTAATCTTAATAATTATCGGGTCATTTTCATGATTGACAGGGGAACACCAGGAGGTGGAATGAATTGCTAAAACATGTGTACGGTAGAAAAGGGTTGACCCAACCCATACAATGGATGGTTTGGCATCTACATTGAATCATTTCACAGTATGCTGATGCCTATAGGTGTAACTCCTTTAGAATTTAACCAATTTGTATATGTTTAACCCCTCTCTCTCTCTCATCTTTATCAATCTTATGGCCATCATTTTTTTTCACTTTTCTCTCTCCTTTTCCTCTTTTTTCCCAAGAGGGTAAAATAGAATTTTTAAAATTTTAAATGACTTTACATGTGCCTTTTGATTGATGATATGATAATAGTGTACAGTTTTATTGATAACAATGATTATTTATTTATATTTTTAAAGTAAAAGAAAATAAGAAAAATGCAAAAAAAAAGAAGAAAATAGATAAATTTGTTTGCTGAAATGAGAGGCCTAATGACATTGACCGTTTTTGTTTTATTTTTTATTTTTGGTTTTTAACTATTTTTAAATAAAACTTATTAATATTGAATCCCTGAAATTTTTAAATTAAAATTATTTTTAATTTATATATATATCACTACTAACTCAAAAGCTTAATGGCTTAAGCTGAACTTGATGGAAGTAGTGAGGAGCTTCCACGTTAGTTGAACGCAGGCTGTATGTAAGACCGGGGATTGGGATCTGCTACCTATACTGTCCCACTCCAGCTGCCCGTTGGAAATATATTCCTTGTCATTCATGAGGAGATGTGACTGTTGTGACATTGTTGTCATTGTGTGTTGGTAGTTGATCAAAACTGCCAATGGCCCATAATTATTCAATCTCTCACTTTACATTTACATTTATGGTTGACATGGGGCCTAATGATTGGTCTCATAGCCTATAACACAACTATCAAATTCAGCCAATCCGCAATGTTGGTAGCTGATCCAAGCTCTTTCCTATTTCAAAAATATCAAAACATTTCGACACTCCTCGCTCATTCGAATGTCTTCTCTCTCTCTCCCCCCTTCCAATCAACAACGACCAACATCCATAACCGGCGACCAGGGGTCAACTTGAGGTATTGATTCTTTTCAAGTTTTTTTTTTCTTATTTTTTTCCTTTCTGTTGGCATCTCTTCCATGAAAAAACTAACCCTAACCGTTTGGATGGCCAGTGGCGAGTAACACTTACACTAAGCAAAAAATATTCTAACCAAGTTCAGCTGTAAACCCAATTAAGGTTGATATAACCCTAATACAATAGAATTGTGTTAGTGTGGTTGTGTGGATTTACCACTTTAACCTGACCACTAACATCCTTAAATCTAAACCGGTTAGGATTAGTTTTTTCATGGAAGATATGCAAAAGGGAAGAAAAAAAACTTGAAAAGAATCAATACCTAAGATTTACCTCCGATCACCAGTATCTAGGGGTGGATTCGAGCTGAGTTGAGCCGAATATTTAGCTATTCGAGCTTGGCTCGTTAAAATTGTGTTCGGCGAGCTCGAGCTTAGTTCGGTTCAAAGTTCGCAAGTTCAAGCTCTACTTGAGCTCGAACTCGAGTTTACCTCGATTCAAAGCTCGCAAGTTCGAGTTTGGCTCGGCTCGAGCTCGATTGCAAGCCAACTTTTTTCTAAAAAATAAAAATATACATATAAAAATACATTTTATTTTAGATACAAAAAATTAAGAATTATAAAAATTATTTATACTTATACATATAAAAAATAAAAATATTATTATATAAAATAAAAATTATTTATTATATATATTTATATGTACATGTATGTATGTATATAATAAAAATTATTTATTTATTATATTAAGCTCACGAGTCTCATGAGCTAAGCTTCATTAGGCTCGAGATCGGCTCGACTAGTAAATGAGCCTATATATCAGGTTTGAACTCAATTTAAACCGAGCCGAACTCAAATAACTCGTGAGAAACTCGGCTCATAAGCACTCGTGAAGGACGCGTGGCGTGTCTTCCTTTTACGCGAACCGTGCGCGTATAGAGCGTGCCCTGATTGAAGCCGCATATGGCCCACAATCCCTCAATCTCTCGCTTCATATTTATGGCTGACGTGGGGCCTAATGGTTGATCCCACAGGTCCCACAGCCTATAACACACAATCAAGTTCCGCCAATCCGCTCTGCTAGAGACTTATATATATATATATATAGAAGGAAGGAAGAGGAAGCCCTGGAACCAACCCATCACTCAACAGAGGAAGAGGAAGACCCTGGAACCCAGATAGTTTCAGAGGAGAGAAAGAGCGAAACAATGGAAGGTTCCTCGGATAAGAAGATAACCCAACCTCTCTCAAGACCAAAGGGTGGCTTCCGCACCATGCCTTTCATCATAGGTGATGATCCACTTCACTACAGTTCCATCTTTGTAAGATCACACTTAGACTACAGTTCCATCTTCTAGTATTTTGTTCATTAACAGAACCATTCTTCTTCTTCTTCTTCTGAACAGCAAATGAGGCGTTTGAGAGGGTTGCAAGCCACGGGCTTATGCCAAATATGATATTATACTTGATGAAAGAGTACAACATGAGCACAGCAACTGGAACCAGTATTTTGTTCTATTGGTCTGCACTAACGAATTTCATGCCCATTATTGGTGCTTTCCTTTCCGATTCTTGTCTGGGTCGGTTTGCATTGATCGGACTTGGGTCCATCTCTAGCCTTCTGGTATGAAAATTGCTTCACCCTTCTTTCTTCCCCCAACCCAACTTTTCGAGAAAATTCTCTTAATGTTTCCATGAATATTTGAAATGCATGGCTCTTTTTCCTTCCCAACTCTGGCTCAAGCCTGAGAGTGATCAGGATCCGTTTAATAACTGCTGAACTAGATTATTTTATCCATTATCAATGGTGTCTCAATGTCAAATTCCAGAAACTAGCTAGGTTGACATTATTAGAAGGGTATCATTAATATCAATTGAATTACATTGATGCCTCAGGGAATGATATTGCTATGGCTAACAACCATGGTTCCTCAAGCAAAGCCTCTCAGTTGCAATGCACCCTCTGAAAGGTGCCAATCTCCAACGCCAGCCCAACTAGTTCTCCTGTTTTCCTCCTTTTGCCTCATGTCTGTTGGAGCTGGAGGCATCCGGGCATGCTCCATGGCTTTTGGTGCGGATCAGTTGGACCAGAGAGATAAGCCTGCAAATAAAAGAGTCTTGGAGAGTTTTTTCAATTGGTATTACGCCTTGACCACCTTCTCAGTCTTGGTTGCCATAACTCTTATCGTATATATTCAAGATCACATGGGATGGAAAGTGGGTTTTGGAATTCCTGCAATTCTCATGTTATTATCTACTCTTCTGTTCTTTTTGGCATCTTCCTTCTATGTCAAGATGAATGCCAACAAGAGCCTGCTAACTGGGTTTATTCAAGTTCTCGTGGTGGCCTTCAAAAACAGGCGTCTGATGTTCCCTCCCAATAACAGCAACAGACAGTACCATCACAGGAGGGGTTCCAGTCTTGTAGAGCCAACAGACAAATTAAGGTATCATCATCATCATCATCCTTATTAATAAGGAAGAGTCTCAAAAACTCCATGCCCATAATGTCTTTTCTATTGTAACTTAGACATGGCTGACTTTACACACATTTCGCTGGCTGGATGAAGGTTTCTAAACAAAGCCTGCATCATTAGAAATGAAGAAGACTTAACCCCTGAAGGCACGGCTTCAAAACCATGGAGTCTCTGCACAGTGGAGCAAGTGGAAGAGTTGAAAGCAATAATAAAGGTGGTTCCACTGTGGTCGACTGGGATCATGATCGCAATAAACAGCAACCAATCCACATTTCCAGTGTTACAGGCGAAGTCCATGGATAGACACATCACCCCAAACTTTGAAATCCCAGCAGGCTCTTTTGCTATGTTTAGCGTTGGTACATTGACGATATGGGTCATCGTTTATGATCGTGTAGTCCTCCCATTGCTTAAAAAGCTCACAGGAAAGCCACATAGGCTTAGTGTCAAACAACGGATGGGCATCGGATTAGTGCTCTCCTGCGTTGCCATGGCCGTGTCTGCTGTTGTGGAGAAGGTGAGACGCAGAGCTGCTATCCGACAGGGTTTGTCCGATCAACCACAAGCCATCGTAGATATGTCAGCCATGTGGTTGGTGGCACAACATTGTCTGACTGGCTTGGCTGAGGCCTTCAATGCAATAGGGCAAATGGAGTTCTATTACTCTCAGCTCCCAAAAAGCATGTCTAGCATTGCAACGGCTCTGTTCGGACTAGGCATGGCTATTGCCAACTTGTTGGCCAGTGTTATAGTGAAGGCTGTGGATGAGGTTACCAAACGAGGGGGAAAGGAGAGTTGGGTGTCAAGTAATTTAAACAAGGGTCACTATGACTACTACTACTGGCTTCTGGCTGTAATGGGTTCAGTTAATTTTCTCTATTTTCTTGTTTGCTCTTGGGCTTATGGGAGTTCTGAGGAACCAGTGATGAGAGATTCTAATGAAGGTGCAGAGATGAGAGTGAGAAACTTGTCCAGGTCTAGGGAATTGAGGGTGATTGCTTCACCTTGATTTTCATGTTCTCAATACTCGGTGGGGATGTGCTATAGGACGTTGTGGGGGCACTCTTGTGAGGGGCTGATTTGAAGTCGTCATATTATTTGACAAATGTACTTCAAGAAATGTAATTATTGTAAATGATTCTCTTATTTGACTTTGTTCCTCAAGCAAAAGACTCAAGCATCCTAAAGATGCATTTCATTGGACCACGTTCCCTCTTATGCCAGGCTAGATTAGTCGGTTCAATCACATCAATGATTGATGTTGAGATAAGTTACAAAATGCCATTAGGGTTTCTAACTACCAAGAGAAATGAAACACATAAACCCATTATTTCAAAGGTAAAGCACACTACCAAGAAAAGAAAAATGAAACTGATTGTCAATTTAGAACTCCGGGGACATAGGTGACAAGACGACAATGAGCTCCACCATCGGCTATTAAAGAAGAAAATTAATCAATACATCTGGAAAGGTATTGTAGAGTCTGGAGATCCAATCTCAGGTGCCCACAGTTTCACGGTTTCCGGAAAATATGTTGTTTCTGACGATTTTGGCGTTTTAATTTTGTCTTCATTAATAGATCCATATGTGTAAGCACAGGTTACGTGACGCAGTTTTTGGGATTTCACGCACCACCTAATTTTAAACGTCTTGATTCATGCAATTATACAAGTATCATGCTTACGGATGCCAGCTATGGGATGGCGGTTACAGCGTAGTGGTTGTAATGTTGTGTGTTTTATGAATGATGTACTCCAATTATGCTATTACTGATTTTTTGCAGTGTCTTTTGAGAACTTTTTCTATCAATTTCTTTTGCCGTTATGTGTGGATTGGAGGAAGGAAATGTGCTTGTTTACTTCTGTTGATGATTTTATTTTACTTTTATTTGATCGTAGAACTTATTTATGTTATATTTCATCCATTTATATATATATATTTTTTGAAAAATTGTATTTAATTTTTTTAATTGACCTTRTTGGCAATTCTCTGTATCAATTTCTTGAATGAATGACATATGCCTAAAAGCGTTTCCAAAAAAAAAAGTTATAATTTTCAAAACTGGAGATTGATATGGAGAATCAGTTCTTGTTTTTCTAAGAACAAGTAATTAATGAAAAGAAGAAAAATAAAGGGACATAGATTTCAAAATGGGGATTTGAACCCCACTACCACCAAATTTGGGGAGGGGGTTATAAGTTTGGTACTGCACTATTCAAACGGCCCCTATAACTAACTTGGGCATATCACCAAATACCAAAAAAAGGCAATATTTGATGAAAAACAGGTAAAGCCCAAATTAACTGTATTTTAAAGCCACTGTGCCCTTCATTGTAGGTGAGATCTCATCCTACAATTACAAACATAGCTCCCTTTCTCATGACTACGTTACTGCAGCCTTTAAAACCAAGCATTTTCCACATGACCTTGTTTTTCGCCATTCCTTCTTTTTTTTAAAAAGGAGCAGAAGTTGTTTTAAAGATGCATTCCTACTTGAATTAGTGACTCATGCACAGGAACCCAAAATCTTTTAAACTCTTGTGAATGCTTAGATGGATTAGTGGTAAAACTAAAAAAAAAAAAAAAAAAGATAGGAATAAAAATGATATCGTAAGGAACTCAAGAATAACTTCAATAGGTGATAAAATAAGAAAATGTAGATTGAGATGATTTGGTTATATGCATAAAAAACCATTTACTTGTTGACCGGGTTAAAAGAATTAGGAGTAGATAGAAAAAAAAAATGAATAAATAAGAAATGATTAAAGCGCAAACAATATATAAACATTGAACAGAATGGAATGGCTAAGCATGATTCGGAGGGTCAACACCATATAGAGGGGACAAGGCCCAGATGATGATGGTGATGGTGATGCACATGCACACGAATCAATCCTGATTGCTTAGTGGTTTTCAATAGGCAGTAGCTCTCCACGGCAAACTTGTTCTCTGGATCATCATCAACCAGTAAGAAGAAGATAATGATAATAAATTAGTGGAGTGATAGAAAGTTGAAGGTACTTCATAATAATGGTGTAGTTTATTTTAAATGTCTTTGATTACTCAACGGGAGACATGTACTCATCTCCATATTGGAAAAATTCTTAAGTAGAGATGGCACAAATCACTGGTCCAATCATAGAAGAGTTCGATTCCCATGATCCCATCTCGTGCAGATACTTTAAGTTTATTGTGCCTCGTCATAGAAAAAAAAAACTGTCCCTTGAGCAATGAAGTCTTGTAAATTGTGATAAGAGGGGACCAATGAAGTTAAAAATGTAATGTGAAGTGTTTTAATTTTTTTATTTAATATTGAAAATTATAATTTGAGGTCAAAAATGGTTTTTTATTTGCAAAAATAGCAGGACAAGCCACTTATGACTCTTTGTGATGTATAGATATTGAAAAGGTACCCAAAATAAGAAGAAATGATCACTTCAATTGAAAAGGTACCCACTTATGACTCTTTATGACCTCCGAAAGTTTGAATGCATTGAATGTGCAATCCATGACCTAGTGACTGGGTCAAACAGGTCGACGGTTGAACCGTCTGGATTTGATGTTTTTTGACCAAGTCAACGTTTTCTGACTGAATGATAGGTCTTAACAAAACTGGACCTAAAATCCTGGCCAGGTGACCGTTCAAATGGTTCAACCAACTGGGTCAACAGCAGGTTGAAAACACTGGTTATGAGTGTAGATTGGGTCCTTTTATTGGCGGATTCTGTAGCTATGAATCTTGTTCATTTAGTTTAAGCCCAAATTTTGCACAGAACAACATTGAAAGATAAGAGAGTAGGCATTTAGGCAAGAAAAACGAGCTTGACCTAAGTAAATCTTTTTGAGGGTTGAAACAGTTCATACTTCATACTTCACATTCAACTAGTGCTCACGACCCTCTGAACGTGCACCATCACCATAGGATGAATCACAGGGTCCCAAATCCCAATTCTCTCAACAGTCCATATATGCCACGTCTAAAACCAGACCTAGCCATCAAAGATTACAACATAGTTTTAAAAAGGGTCATTTAATAGAACACTCTTTATAATTTCATGGATTTACTTAAATCTACCCTGTAGTTTTCATTTTATTAAAACACCCCTATAATTTAATCAACCTTTCACTAATCAGTGTTTGTTTTTCTATCTGAAAATAGTAACATTATAACCTAAATTGAGTGAAAAATGTTCAAGGGCATGTTCTCATTGCTGTTTATTCCAAAAGTACCCCTAATACTTCTTCGTACATAAAACAAAACAGAGACCAAATAGAACCAAATAAAGTGGTTGCTTGTGTCTTATTAAAATGGTATTTTTATTTTCATTTTCTTTTTTATTTTATTTATTCAAATGGACATTAGGGTTAAAGCTATCATTTTCCACTGTCATCTAATAGAAGGTCGATTAAGTAAACCAATTGCTAACTATAAGGGGTGTTTTAGTAAAACCATGAAATTATAGGGGGTATTTCGGTAAATGACCCTTTTAAAAACCAACATAGAAATTAAGCCATTTTGACCATCAGTTCCTGCATCAAATGGTCCAACCATCCGAACCCCAACCCTGATCAAACGGTTTTGTAGTCCAAAACTGGATCTGGAGCCATGACCAGTTTCCGGGTCAACCAATCCGACCATCCAGTCCGGTCTGGTTTTCAAAACCATGGATTACAGTCCTTGAATCTGTAATAGGGTCGCTACCCATGCCTGCTGCCTGCACATGTTATCAGAATATTGGATATTGAAGCGATTTTCCCCTACCCATGTTTGGATTGGAAACCATGATCTGATTATATTATAGGTCTCCTATTCCAGGATAACTAATTAAAAACTGAATAATTTTAAACCACCTTTTTCGATGCAACACTTGTGCCGAAAGTAAATTAGTATCTAAGCACATTTTTCTAGTTCTTATTCAAAGACAATTTAGAACATATTCCATTGATATCTCATTTGGATGGAAACAATGTAGTAGAAATAAAGCAATAAACACACAACTTCCGCTTCTATTTCGAATGTCTGCCCAAATTTATACGAGTTTGTTTCTGCGAAATTGCAAGAAAATTTATCTCAATTGAATCGTTTTGAGCATCAGTATGTATTATTGGCATAGGAAAGGAGAAGCCCCCGGGAGGATTGGAAGTTCAAGAGGGGGATTTGAGCCGAGACGGGAACAAGGCTCGAATGTTTATTTGTCAGCACTCCAGCAATTTTTTCAGTTCTTTCTTATTCACCTGAAATAAAATACTGAATGGTAAATATACATGCTCAACGGCAACTTCCTTTTTCCCCTTTATTTTATTTTAGGTTTTTGCATGGGATGCACTGGAGCATTGTCAAGAAGAAATGAAGAATAGAAGGAAAAAGAGACCACTCACCTTCCCCATGGCATTTCGAGGAAGTGAGTCCCACAAGAACAATCTTGTTGGTATCTGGAAATGGAGAAAAGGTGCAGTCATTAGTTTCTAGTAATATAATAAAACCAATTGAATTGAGATCCCAAGTTCAAATGAATGCTCAATTTTTTCTTGTGGAAAACACAATTGAGTTAAGACCAAGGTTGAGATATACAAAAAAGTCAATTATTTAAAAGAAAAAAAAAGACCATTATCCAGTGTTGGTCTCAGCTATTTGGGGTCTTGGGAGGGGTAGACTGGATACAAACCTAGCATTTGGCCAGTGTTGCATGGAATGGACATGGGTCTACTAGAAAAAACATGGATTCATGGGCACATTGAAAAGTAATATACTATAAAGATAGTTTATATTTTTTGAATTCTAGCATTATATATCTGCTGCAACCTGCAAAAAGGGGTCTAAAATGTTTTATGTTACCAAGTAACCTCTGATATGGAAAATGGCATCCATCTTGTATATTGGCTGTTCATTTATGTCAGAGAAGTTGGGAGGTAAAAAAGGAAATGTAACTTCAAAATGTCCCCAAGAATCAGTGGAGTGTAAGACCGAGTGTGTCCAACATAGACACATTATCCATTTACAGAAGTCCATGTTTCTATGCACAAAGTGGTCATTCTCGTACCCCAAACCCGTGTTCTTATTTATTTATTTTTGATCAATAACAGAAACTTTATTAAGATTTATGAAGCTTTAGGACAATAAGGGGGAGATAAAGAGTCTTATCTCCTCATCAGTAAATTACAATGAAAGAAGATTAAAAATTAGCCCAAAAAATAGCCTCCCTATTCACCCCCTGCTTGGCCAACCCAGTGTTCTTATGCTTATCAGTCCAAGGTTTTACCATTATACCAAACAATGGCCAATTAAAAAAACAATTATTTCAACTCAACTAAGTCTTGCCCAACTATATGGGGCTGGCTACATGAATCTTGTTCCACCATTCTGCTCTGTTCAGTGCCATGTTAAAAAAAAAGTCAATTATTTAAAACCAAAAAAAAATAAAATAAAACAGTAATAATAATCAATCCTTAAAGGAGAAATGGACTACTACTTGAATACTGAAAACCGAAATTGAAGATGATGAAGAAAGCAAAAGGGAAGACAGTCTTTGGAACTCAAAAGTTGAAAGGAATCAAAACAGGCACAGAATAAGGAACACCATATTGAAAATCTAACTTTGGCATTCACCCTTCAGTCGAGATCTTTCAAAATTTCAGATGAATAGTGAAAGTTTGTGAAAACAGGGAACATGACAAAAGTCTTTTTTTTTTATTTGAAAAGGTAAAATGAGTTTCACTTGGTAATTGAAGATCCAGGTTGGGGTGCTCATGACAAATAAAAAAACTGAGACCTGGTAATGGATTACACACTATGTGTGTACAAACTCCAGGAGTCCATAACTTCGCACTTGGTTGTCTGATTAGGGTGATCTTTAATCTCAATTTTGGGTAACTTTTTTCGATCTGCATGTGCCGAAGGCACCTTGCGCTGCTATTTTTGCTAAAAAATTTTTGGCCTCAAATCGCAATTTTAAGCATTTATTTACAAATAAAAATATAAATATAAATTAGACATTAAATAATACATATATATTACATGTAGAATGTAATTATGCATTACATTCGGTTTTTAAAACACTGATTTATATTATATATTTATAATATATTATAAATATAAAAAACTAGAAAACCAAACTGGTCAACTGGTTAATCGGCAATTTGGTTCGGTTTTGGTTTTGACACTAAACAAAAACTGAAGGTACCAGCTCAGTTTCAAAAATGTGCTCATGGACCGTGAGTACCTCTAGATCCAGGTCACTCTTTCAGTTCATATTTATACAATCACTGGGTGCCACTTTTTTTTTTTTTTTGATTAATAAAAATTTGGACCATTGGGTGCCACTTTTGAGRGATAATACATTAAGACACATGATAATACCTTGTATGGTGCAAGTTTCTCTTTGGCCCAAGTACGAAGTTCTCCCAAGCTTATGGCTGGCTTACAGTCTTCCTCTCCTCTTCTCTTTGCAGCTGCCTCTGGCACAATTATAGCACATACAGCTTCACCATAGTCTTTGTCTGGTAAGCCCAGCACACAACACTCTGAAACTGCTGGATGCTATACACAATGAACAGCTCAGTTATAACCATTAGTTTCCTTCCCACACCCACCAAAGAAAGGTTTAATTTAGAGAAATGTTGGCATTACCAGCCAAGTCCTCATGGAACCTCTAAATTACAAGAGGACAACGCCATAGAATCCCATGTATTTTACACTGGTGACCCTGTTTACACATATTCTTTTGGGTTTTAAAGGCCCATGATGGACAATGTAATATCCTTACATTGCTCATTAGTTATACAGGTAGCAGGAAATGAAGAGCTCAAATGGAAAGCAGTACCTCTAGAAGCACTGCTTCAATATCTAATGCAGAAAGCTTGTATCCACCAACTTTCAAGATATCAGCACTTGTACCTGCCAAAATTTCTGAAGGTTTAAGAAAATCACCCAAGAAAAAAAAATGCATACAAATCTACTCTTCCCTTGCACAATTAATCTTGGTACATACTGGTTCTGTAGTACCCTAATTCATTGAGAAGCAATGCTCATTGAGGCAGCACATGGTAAGTGAATAGCAGCCAAAGATACGGTTAAACTACTTGTTCCATGCTAAATAACAAACTCTCCATTTTCAGTGCAGGTCTTTGGGGCTGAAAATGGCTGAAATGGCTAACTGAATAACTGATTGACTTACTTCTTCATCCTTTAATGGAAAACTAATTAAATAATAAAATATTTAAGGTTATGCTAATCATCCCAACTTCAGCTTCAGCCTTAAGGAGTTTGCAACCTCCTCCTAAATAACTCATTCACTAAAAGGCAAAGCATTCAGCCACTTCAGTTGTTATCAAATGGCCCCTTATGTCAGACCAACTAAGCACTCTCTTCAATATTACTAATTTACTATGCATGAGAAATAATATGGTGAATACCCATAAGGAAATTCAGTCAAATAACCTTATAACCTTTCTGATCTTTGATCATGTGGTTGTTAGTTTACCACCTACACCTACAACTCATGATTTGACAAGAGCAGATTGTAGGAACTGGTAGAAATAAGACCAAGAACAAAAGAGCAATAGTAGAGGGGAAGAGTTCTTTTAGGCCTTCTACCAATCGGTAACATATCGGTATGGAGTTGTATGGAGCTGGCGAGCTGCCATCAACAAGGGAAACACATTAAATCAAATAGTCAAGGTTGCACTCTCTCTTTGAAAAGCAAAAAAACTCTTCCATCCTATCCAAGCCTCTTCTACGTGCAAAATGGAAACGTTTCACTCAGTGTTCTATATCATCTCTTACCAGATATTTGCAGTCTTTATTAACTTAAACATGAGATTGCATCATTATCCTAAATTCATAAAATACTCATTTTTTATGGTCAATTAGTCACTGCATCACTTAGGGAAACCAAAATGACTAATCATTGCCTCACCACATTGATAACACTGGATTCAACTTGTGATAGGTTGACATAAACTGAATCTCAGTTCAAATTTTTTAAATCACGTGGTGCATTGATGCAAATTAATTATTTCCCACCATGTAAATAGAGTTGTTATACCTAGCTGAGCATATTTCCCATATTTCATGTTTTATTGTATTCACATGTTTGTATATCTGTGTGTGTGTGTGAGTTGGTTTTGACTAGCATACAAAATGCCAGCAAATGATGGGCCAAATGTTAAAAGAATCAAGGAGGAAGGTCCTCCTATATCTGGTGGCACTAGAGACAACTATCAGAGACCTCTTTAACATTTAAAAGCACTTGCTCAAATGCCCACCAGTCTAGCATGCCAGATAGAATGAAGGAGAACAAGTGGTAGGAACTCATCAGTTGCTTCAGAAGACTTCTTATAGATTAAATTATGTCATGAGATGGMAAACGCAACCAAAGTTGGAGATAGTTGGCATTCTATATATGATTCAGGTAGAGGAAGGACTAGGAGAAACTCAGTAGATGGGAAGAAAGAGGGAGCCATTGGCATGTGCAACCCCTTTCATTTATCTTCCTGGATGAATAACTAAAGTAATGAAGATGCTTGATTGAATCTTCCTCATCCAAAGTAAAAGATGCTTAGTTGCAGGGAGAGACCTCTAGGAAGGAGATCACTCTCCTGAAAAACTAGAATTCTGATCTATCAGCCTATCTATGTTCACCTGTACTTTGTACCAAAACCCAGGTCATTCTGTAAAAAGTAATAGGTTACAAGTTCTAGAAAATCCAAGTTTGGTAAATATATTTAAATATCGTAGAAGATAATTATAATTCTCCACAGCCAGAGGTTCAGAAGGGCTWATCTTCTAAGAAAAAGCAGAAAAGAGTATCAACTTCTATGGCAATAAGAGTTATCTTACGTCCCAAAATAATGTAGTATCCATCTTCATCCACCTTAACAGTGTCTCCAGTCTTGAAGAATCCACCATCAACAAATGATTCCTTTGTTACCTACATGGATTATCACATGTGTAAGTCAAAATGAACAACCACCAAATGATTAACATAAAAGACAGAAGACATAGTTGCGCAACTTTAGGCATAGAATGTTCCACCCACTGTTCCTGTTCAGAAAATTTCAGGAGGAAAACAAATATCTCAGGACAAGTCTTGATTTTAGGTTCTAGAAATTATTTTTTAACCTATTTGTTCATTGTTATAGCTTTTCCTGATGTATGGTTCTGAGTAACCTACATTTCACTTCAATTAATATATATATAGAACCTTCAAATCTTACATGGATGTACCTTTATATTCCTTGACTTGTAACAGCAATGAAATATAAAAAAAAAAAATCAGAAATTACTGAACAAGAAGAGCGCAGTAGAGAGAGAGGAAGAGAAGAAGAGAAGAGAGGATAAACACCCCTGTCATGGAACACATTGTGAGCCCCCACTATCTTTTATGTTAGATGTTATAACCAACCAGGGAATTTACAGGATGCCCCTGGTTAGGAAGCAGCACTATAAAGACCAGAAAAAGAATATCAGAAAAGCACTGAAAAGACCAAAGTTCTTTTATTTTTTATAGATGTTTACGCAATCAGAGAAAACCTTATTAATCGGCAAACTTAAGATTTTTATGACATAAGAACCATTTTCGAACAATAGATATCAGGATTGCAAAGCTCATCCATATTGTCTTGAATATGGTCCCAAAAGTAGCAGGAAAAAGGTGTAGTCATTAAATTACAAAACAATTAAAGTACTTGATAAAATACTGGAAGGTCTAGAAAGTACCTCAGGTTGTTTCCAGTATTCCTTGAACAGTGAAGGACTTCTAACGCAAAGCTCACCTACCTCCGTTATACCATTTGTGTTTCCATCTTCTGCAAGGATTTTGACCTATCGTACATCAAAAGAAAAGATTCAGAAATATAGGCACTAATTTTCCACATGCTGCACATCAGTGGCAAGAAAAAAAGTAAATGTACCATTCTCATTTCTCATCAATGGTTACCATAAACAAGAGTCGCTTGAATTTTGGCATTTCCTTTAATGCAAGATGCATGTATCAAAATATGATTCAGTGAGATATACATAAAACTGATGATAGTGGAACGCTTTGTGCAAAACAATGCCAAAGGTTAGGTCCGTATCCAGTCTACCCCTCCCAAGACCCCAGATAGCTGGGACCAACATTGGCCAATGGCCTTTCTAGGATACACATGAAGCACTTTTTAGTAGATAAGATATACATAAAGCTGATGATACCAGAACATTATTCTTCTAGACAGCCCCAAATAGTTAGGATCTGAATTATGACAAAAAAGATTCAGGCTGCACCTCTAGAAGAAAGAGAGAAGATAACACACTACCCACAGCCACAGGTAACTTCAGAATAATTTTTTTATTACATTAAATCAATTATAAAGTCTAATATTTAAGTAACTAAAAATAATAATTATGGGAATTATCATAATGAATTAGTCCAAAAGTTACTATAAATAGTAATTTTTACTTTTACTAATAGCAGTAAATTTATAAAAAAATAAAATCTCTATTTACACCAAAAAAAACTAAAAGATTGCAAAGACTCAAAAATACTAAAAATCAAAGCACCCAAAATTTGTGAAATTTCCATTGCATGAGGAATTGGGAGAAAACTGATTTCTTTCTCCATGGACTCTTTCCTTGATTCCAGTTAGACAGTAAAAGGAAAGTAGAAACTCTGAAAAAGCCTTGCTAACCTCTACACCTGGAAGTGGTTTGCCAACTGTGCCACCCTTCCGCATGCCTCGTAAGGGATTAGAAAGTGCCATAACAAACTACAAGAAAACCAATTGTTTAGAGGACATTGCAAGAATATTAACCAAATGAACACCTACACCATGTTAACTACACAAGCAGTCTGAAAGGAGATAATGAACTTTAAACCAGATAAAACAATTTCACAGTTTTCACTTACCTCAGTCATGCCATAACGTTCCAAAAGGCGATGACTTGTTATACTTTCCCACTGTTGCATAATAGGATAAGGAAGTGCTGAGGAGCCACACATCTGCAAAACTAAAACTACCCAATCAGTGTCAAATTTAAAATATCAAAATGAAGTATAGAAATAGATAGTAAATAAATTTTACTAGTTCACAGAAAACTGAAGACCAATGAAACCTAGTTCAATATTTATAACATATGGATAGGAATCCCAAACAGCTACGTAAGACATCAGGGAGGTTCTGTGCTAGCTTTTCAGTTCTAATAGGACATGATGATTGGAGGTCCACCTTGTATCTTGAGTGACTTTTTAGTCCTATTTTTCCTTTTCTTCTTGTTTACAGGTAGGAGTATTTGGTTTTTGTGCATTTGGTCCATATTTGGTTCAGTGACTTCAGTCAGATCAGAGGGTTATATTTGGACCGTGAGGTTTATGTTGCTTTGGCATTACCGTTGCATGGACACTCTCTCCTAAATGGATGAAGCGTCCATTTCAGACATGTCAGATATCACAACTCCACAGATGCTGGAAGGACACTTCTATATAATATTTTCCTTTTTCTGCTTGCTTATTTGACATTATAGCTACTGTACATAATGAATGTTATTTTTTCCTATAGAGCATTACCAATGTCAGAGATGCATTTAACTTTATTTTCTATAGATGTACTATGTTAGAGTTCAAAATACATGAACTATTTTAATAGTATAAACTCCCCAAGTCCTTTTTCTTTTTACTTTCTTCTTTGTCTTGTTGAAACAGGTTCCTAGACATGAATCTTATTCCAATGCCCATGTACATATCCATAAAACACTAATTTGGAAGCAATTTTATGTTTAATATTTAAATGGTCTTCTGGATCACGTATGAACATGGATGATTAATAGAATTGTTTTGTTTCTTCAGAATAATTGAGATGGTTTAGTCACGTGCATAGAAGACCATCTACAGCACCGGTTAGAAAAAGTGATATGTTACAAGTTGAAGGGGCTAGAAGAATGTTTTCAGCAAGGAAGAAGAAGAAGAAAAAGAGGAGAAAGGTATGAGAGCCAAAAAGTCACTGTTGGCGGTGCCAACTTTTGATTAAATAGTAGGGTGACCAAAACATAATAAAAGAAGAGGAAAAGACAATAATGTCCCTCAAGTTGGGACATAGATGTCAATCATCTCCAACTTGTCACAAAGATCATAATGCGACAGTAAGCATAATCCTTTAGTAAAAACATTTGCAAGCCGTTCATCAGAGCTAATGTAGGGAGTGCACACTTGCCCCTTTTCAATTTTCTCTCTGATGAAATGCTTGTCAATCTCAATATGCTTGGTTCTATCATGGAGAATTGGGTTGGCTGCAATGTTAATGGCAGCTTTGTTCTCACAGTAGAGTGACATAGGATCATCAAAAGGAAATCCTAGTTCACTCATGTGCCCATGTTTCTAAAAGAGCAAACATGTCCCTAGGAATTTCTTCAAGTACCTAAGAACTCTGTCTACTACCTCTAGGTATGCCTCCTTGGGTGCATGCATGAACTGACTGAGGACACCCACAACATATGCAATGTTGGGCCTGGTCATAGATAGGTAGAGAAGCCTGCCCACAAGTCTTTGGTACTGCCTTGGATCTTTCAAGAGCTCACCATTGCAAGTCTGCAATCCCCAAGTTTATGATTTACATCCTTGGTGTGTCAACAGGTTTAGCTCCTAACTTCCCTGTATCTTTTAGGAGATCTAGGGCGTGCTTCCTTTGGGAAATGAAGATGCCTTGTTGAGAGCGAGCAACTTCAATACCAAGGAAGTAGCGCAATTGCCCCAGATCCTTAACTTCAAACTGTGTAGCGAGGAATTTCTTTAATCTCTGAATCTCTGAGACCCAGTCTCCAGTGATGACAATATCATCTATATAGACAATCAAGGCTGTTTTTTTTCTTGTTCCCTCTTTACAAAAAGTGTGTGATCGGATTGGCACAGCTTAAAACCCATCTATTGAACTGCCTGGTGAAACCTGCTAAACCAAGCTCTCGGAGACTGCTTTAGACCATACAAAGATTTCTTCAATTTGCAAACTTTTTGTTCACTTCCCTTAGGAAAAAAAACAGGGGGTTGAGTCATATACACTTCTTCCAAATCACCATTCAGGAAGGCATTCTTTATGTCAAGTTGATGAAGCTCCCAATCAAGATTTGTAGCTAAAGATAGAAGAACCCGAATAGGGTTCATTTTTGCAACTAGAGCAAAAGTCTCGGCATAATCAACTCCATGCACCTATGTGAAGCCTTTTGCAGCTAGTCGAGCCTTGTACCTTTCCACAGGCCCATCTGCCTTATGTTTTATAGAGAACACCCATTTGCACCCTACATGCTCCTTTCCCTTAGGAAGATCTACCAGCTCCCACGTGTCATTCTTGTGAAGAGCATTGATCTTTTCTTTCATTGCATCTGTCCACTGAAGAACAAGTAAGGCCTCCACAACACTCTTAGGAAGGGGAACACTATCAATGGTAGATAGAAAAGCACAAAAAGAAGATGAGACATTCTCATAGGACAAGAAGTGAGACATGGGGTGGTGTGTGACTGTGTGGTGCATGATCTGACACCCTTCCTTTTTGCAATAGGGAGGTCCGGATCACAACTTGAAGTGTCAATATCAATAGGTTCAGGAATATCAAYTGGAACAATAGTACTTGGGTGAGGTGAAGGATCCCCTGAGGTTCTGATGGTATTGGTGGCATAGCTTCCGGTGGTTCTGTGGCAACTGAACTCTGTCAGCCTTGATTTTTTTTAGCGCAATCTCTGAAAGACACGAAATGGAGGAGGATCACAACTTGAAGTGTCAATATCAATACGTTCAGGAATATCAACTGGAACAATAGTACTTGGGTGAGGTGAAGGATCCAACCCCTGAGGTTCTGATGGCATTGGTGGCATAGTTTCCAATGGTTCTGTGGCAACTGAACTCTATCAGCCTTGATTTTTGTAGCGCAATCTCCGAAAGACACGAAATGGAAGAGGATCATGAATGAAGCCACAAAACTTGAGTCCGACTCTGTTTCTCCTCAACTATACTTTCCCCTCAAGGAGAAACAAGAAAATAGAGGACATCTTCAAAGAAAGAGACATCCATAGAGACAAAGTATTTTTTAGACACAGGATCAAAACAATGATAGCCTTTCTAAACAAGGTGATAACCAAGAAAAATACACACAATAGCTTTGGGATCAAGCTTACCACGAGTAGGAGATAAATCATGAAAAAAACACTTACATCCAAAGACACGCATAGGTATAGGAAACAGTAGAGCTTTAGGGAAGAGGAGTTGATGAGGGGACCTATATTCCAATACCCAAGATGGTGTTCTATTGATGACAGGCAGCAGTTAGGACAGAATCCACCCAAAATCTTTTTGGGACATTCATCTATAACATTAATCCCCGAGCAACTTCAAGGAGATGTCGATTTTTTCTCTCTACAACCCCATTTTGTTGAGGGGTTCTGGCATATGAGCTCCTGTGTTGAGAGCCCCAAGAGGCAAAGAAATCTGTGAGGTCTCCATGGAAGTATTCCTTGGCATTATCTATTTGAAAGATTTGGATCTCGGATTGAAATTGGGTGTAAACCATATGCTGAAAGTCTTCACAATTTTAGGAACTTCCTCCCGTGAATGCATAGGATAAACCTAAGTGTAGCGGGAGAAGACATCAATAAAGGAAATAAAATATTTGTAACCATTCTCAGTTGGAATATTAACAGGTTCCCACACATCCGAATACATAATGTAAAAAGGAAATTCTTATATTTTATTACGTAAAGGGAATGAGGTTCTATAATGTTTACTCAGTTGACACACTTGACACTGAAAATCACTAACAGACAAAGACTTAAATAAATCTAAAAGCAAATACTTCAAAGACTCAAAAGATATATGGCACAAACGGTGGTGCCACAAAATAACCTAACTCTTACTTGACGGACTCAAAGACTCTAAAACTATAAGACCAACTTTGTTCTCCAACACATAGAGACCATCCACCATGTTCCCTCTACTGATCATCCTCTCGGTAGCCAAATCCTGAAAAACATAAGAATGTGGAAGAAAGGTTACTGAGCAATTCAAGGCATGAGTAATACTACTAATGGATAACAAATTAATGGGTAACTTTAGAACATGTAGAACATTAGATAAGGAGAGGCCAAAAGGCAAAGATATAGATCCTTGACCAATAATGGAGGAAAAGGATCCATCTACTAACCTCACTTTATCTCTGCTAGAGAGAAGAGAATATGTTTGGAACAAGGTTGACTTACTAGTCATGTGGTTAGATGCACTGGAATCAATAATCCATGGGGATTCTGGGTTATCAGTAGACACATGGAAAGGTGAGGCAGGATTACCTAAAGAGGAGGCAAAAGAAGTAGAAGGTGTGGGTCCAGAATCAACATTGCGGAGAGCCCTACCATATTGCTCTAAGTGGTCACGAAAGGAATTGATAATATCTTCCTTTGGGTCAGAACAAGGGAAGCAATCCTGAGAAGTACTCTGATGCTCATGAGATGCTAAGTTTGTTGAAGTAAACTTCTTTTGGTATGGCTTCTTGCTCGGTTCTTGTGCTGATTTCTTACCTAATTCMTGTGCCCATTTTGGTTTCCCATTCAATTCCCAACAGGTTTCATGGGTGTGCCTAGATTTTTGGCAATGAGTACACCACAGTTTGTCTTTATCATCTGCCTTTTTCTGATTTTCCCCTTTTCTTGGTGCCCCAATGTTACCCCTCACAGCAAGAACAATAGTCTCCCCCTTAGGAGGATTCATGGCAGACTTCCTACTCTCTTCAGACTGAACAAGTGCATAAACCTCTTGGACAGACGGAAGATCCTTGCTGCCCAAAATCTGAAGACAAATAGGTTCATACACAGGATTCAAACCTAGAAGGAAAGCAAATGCTCTTTGCTGTGAAACTAGCTTTTTATATGCTTTAGCATCCTTTTTCACTTTCCCAATCAATGTTTTGACAATAGTCTAGTTGTTCCCAAACTAAAGTGAGAGCAGAATAATAGGTCGACAAGCTCCTTTCTCCCTGTTTACATGTTGAAGATTCTACTTGTAACTGGTAAATTTAGCATAGTGACTCTGCTCTGAATAAGTTGCTTGCGCTTGGTCCCGTATTTCTTTTGTTGTCTCGGCCCACATAAAATTCTGTTTGGCGGAGGGTAACATGGATGTCAAAAGCCAGAATATAATCATGCAATTCTCTTGGTCCCACTTATCATATTCAGTAGTACCAGCCCTAGATTCCTTTATTTTCCCATTAATATATCCTACCTTACCCCTGGCTGTGATATACAGCCGCATCTCCTTCGATCATGTCAGTAGGGCTGTTCATAAGAATGCCCAACCCAACCAAACCGACCAACCCAGACCGACCCAACCCGAGTCGACCGGGTTTTCATCAGTACTGGTCGGTTTCAGGTTGGGAAAATATATAAACCGATATATCGGGTTGGTTTCGGTTTTCTTGTGTGAAAACCGAAACCAACCCGACCCGAACCGAACTAGTCTTCTACTAGTTCGTTAGTTCCTAGTTTGAATAGTTTCCTACTTAACTATAACTAGTCTTCTACTAGTTCGTTAGTTCCTAGTTTGAATAGTTTCCTACTTAACTATAACTAGTCTTCTACTAGTTCGTTAGTCCCTAGTTTGAATAGTTTCCTACTTAACTATAACTAGTCTTCTACTAGTTCGTTAGTTCCTAGTTTGAATAGTTTCCTACTTAACTATAACTAGTCTTCTACTAGAACTAGAAGGCCCATTAGGCAATTACAATTAGAATAGGCAATTTATCCTAGTTTCTAACTTTCTATAATCTTTTACACCAAATAGGCAACCCATTAGGCAATTACAATTAGAATTCAATTAGGTGTCCTTTTGTACAGGAGCAAAACCAAAACCGACCCAACCCGACTCAAACCGACCAGGTCGGTTTGGCCTATCAGTGGGTCGGTTTCAGTTTCCACCTCAGGTAACCCGACCAGGTCGGGTCGGTTGGGAAAACCCCAATAAACCGACCCAACCCGACCCGTGAACACCCCTACATGTCAGGTAATTCCTACCATCCAAAGGGGTAATAGTCATTGGGAAATTCATGGAGTCATAACCACTACTCATTCCACCTTGATTCATGGTGGTTCTTGAAGTTGCAGAATCTTCAATATTCATGATTTCAGCCAATACACACCCACAAAAAAGAAATTCACAGCCCTCACTCTAAGTGATTAACAATCAGAACACAATTCCAGTTCATGTAGAAACACACTTTGACATGTCAAATAGGTCTCCAAGGCTAATATTAAGCCACAACCATCAGTATTCTGCTGCTATGCCGGTCACCTGAGCACTCACAGGTGTAACAGATCCCCAAGGCTAATATTAGCCACAAACATCAGTGAACTACTACTGTACCAGTCAGCCAAATCAGGTCACTCATTGACCTACAAAATTTCTCACAAGAAACTTGGTTTCTGGATCATCCGACCCACAAAGGGGTTAAACCCACACTATATCATTCGGTTAGGGCAAACCTTAACCTGTTCTTGGTATCTACACCAAGAACCAAAAAAAAAAAGTGTTCAAGAAAAAAAGGTCTCCCTGTTCAGTCTGAGAGAATTCTGGGTTTACCAGTCCAAGACAAAGAAAGAAAACAACAAAAAAGAACAGCTGACCTCTTAGGAAGAATCAACCAATCATCAACAATTTCTGGAATCACTTCAGTTTAGTTTCAGTCCAGAACAGATGAGAGAAAAGCAGATGAACAGTTTTCAGGTCCAGAACGAGTTTGTTTCCTTCATTCTCAATCCAGAAAGAACAGAGCAATCCTTCAACCAATGCAGAGAGGAGATTTACAGAGCACTGACCTTCTCTGATACCATGTTTTCAGCAAGGAAGAAGAAGAAGAAGAAGAAGAAGAAGAAGAAGAAGAAGAAGAGGAGGAGGAGGAGGAGGAGGAGAAAAGCATGAGAGCCAAAAAGTCACTGCTGGCGGCGCCAGCTTTTGATTAAATAGTAGGGTGACCGAAACATAATAAAATAAGAGGGAAAGACAAGAATGCCCCTCTGTGGCATATGGTACAGATTACATCAAAGAGCTAGGGGCAGACCAAAAAGAACTTGGGTGGAAGTAATAACTAATAAGAAACTATTTAAGCACCCATAATTCAATAACAGATATGACACTGAACAGAATGGAAAGGTGAAACAGGATTCATGTAGCCGAGCCTATATAGTTGGGACAAGGATTAGATGATGATAATGATTTTTGTTTCTTCAGAATTATCTTCTCTCTTCTGTTATCAAAAAAGAAAAAAAAAAGCTTTCTTGGTTCTCATTTCTCTATGTTAACATACAATCCTTTTTAATATTTTTATTTTCCCTATATTCGTTCAAGTTCATGTTGTGTACCACTCAATTCCACTCTTAGTCCAGACATTAAATTTTTATCTCCAAAAAGTTTTCCATTCAACCCTACTCTACATCACAAAGATATCTTCAGCTTTCTTCTTTTTCCTTTTTTTGAAGTTTCTTTATTATTTATCTCCCAAACCTTTGTTGTATGATTACATCTTACCTTGCCCAGAATGGCTCCATAGCTAGGGTTTGGAGTTTAAGCTCAGATGCTTGGGCTACAGGTTTTCCTAACCTCTACTAAATCCAACTGATAGCCATCCCTATCCTATCCTCCTAGAGTGACACCCACCCATGATTCCATAACTTTATCTGCCTATAATTCCTTGATCTTCATTTTATGAGATTTCTCAACCATTCCATGCTGTCAACACATCTTTCCTCTGTGTTTCTCTGGCTATGTATTTCTTTTTTTTTTTTAATATGTGATGACTATCCTTTGTATGTTACAAAATTCTGTCTGCATGTTAGACCTTCCAGTAGATAGTCTCAAAGATGAAATAAAGATGCCAGTGAGTTGTTCATGCAGACAAGAAATGGAATTAGGTAAAGCATAAATATGGAAGACCTTTGTCACCTTGTAATTTAAGAACATCTTGAATTGACTCAAACAAAAAGTAAGCAAGTTGTGCAACTTCTGTGTTGAGAATTGAAACTTCTCATCAGATTGCTCTGCAGGTGATTAAAGAACGCTAGAGAAAGGGCCAAGTGCTGAACTGGATATTATACACAGAACAAAGAGATTTGATTTTGAAAGCATGTATGATTGATATTTTTTATTGGTCATATAAGGTTGGCATTTTGCCAACAATTTTTGGTCATTTGAATCAAAATGACACCATAGTGAGAACTGCAGCCTCAAGATTACCAAAAGCTGACTATTATTATGAAATGAATCATATTTAAGTAAAAAGAACACAACCGTATCTTGTTCCTCAATGGCATCATCTGTACAATGTACAAAACCAAGACATTCACGGGAAAATTCATACCACCAGACAAGGGTCTTCTCCCTTTTTCTACCTCTTTAAAGCCAATTAAATCAAGAACTTTGTCTAGAACCTTTATTTTGTGATACTCCAAAAATTCTTTGACAGAGTTCCATTTCTAAGAAGTTGAAGGAAGTTGACTGACAGGAACAAATGCTAATAGGTCCCACAGAGAGTCTCCAAAGAGGGACTACAATGACACCAAGAGAAGATGGAAAACTTACTGAACTTCAAAGAAGATATGTGCAGCTGACAAGCTAACAAGGTCAAATTCTTCAAAGAAGTTGTAATTGATGCAGGACAGCCTACAAACTCAATGCCAGCTCACAAGCCAATTGCCTTGGCAAAGGTCTAGCACGTAGCACCTTATTTTAGGGTTACCAAAAAAAATCTACCTTTCGGGATTCAATTTGATCTTACAAAACACATCCACCTGTAGCTAGCCTATTCATTAGATACTTTGGATTTTCTTTATAATTTTCTATTTTCCTTTGTTGTTTAAAAGCTTCCACTGTGGTTTCCTAGTAAACAAGTTTCAGATTTCAAGGTTTCTTTCCTACAAACAGCCTTTTATTCCCAAGCAAGTAGTTATACACTTCTCTTTTCAAGATTTTAGTGCACAGAAAATATTGTTGTCTATGAAGTCATCGGCTTCAGTTGTTCTTGCACAGAAATGCAATAAATGAAGGACTTCTAAAATGGAAGTAGTTTTCTACATGGTACCAAAAATGAACAGAAACATGGAAGAGCCATCCAAGTATCCAACCAGGACATAAAAGGGCAAGTAAAGGAGGGAATTCACTCTAACTACCATTAGGCGTAACTGTCTTGCCGCTGAGGCTGACTGAGATTGAAATTTTGGATCCATTGCTTCATAGCCTTGTAACAATCGAGTATACATTGTTGGAACCTGTGTATCAAAGTTCTATTTAGTTCCAAGCATTTATTGGAACAAGTAGAAAGACTAACCACACAAAAGGCTCAATTGAAATCATTTACATTGTTGTAGGAAATTAGAAACTTTCTATTTTTTTTATGGAAAGCAAGAAATTGATTACATTCTAAATATTCAACCCCAACAGCAGGAAAACAATGATAAGTGCTTAAAGAATCTTTGACTCTAGGGAGATTAAGGGGACATTTTGATAACATTTGTAGTGGCTTTACTGAAAAGCTTATTGCTTTGCCTCTAAATGAACAAGTTTTTAAGGAGGTTGTGGCTCCTTAATGGCTGAAGCTGAAGTTGGGTAGACTACTATAATTTAATTATTTTATCCACTAAAAGACAAAGCAATAAGTCTTTCAGTTCAGAAATTTCAGCTGTAATCAAATAGTCCCTAATGTAAAGATGGTCCTCAATTTGTAAAGCCACTATTAAAGCACACTTTATCTAAAGCTACCTAAAAATTCAGTCATTATCAAGGAGCACAGGCTCAATAAGTTGAGTAATAGAACATGTAAGACTTAAATACTACAAATAATATTTGCCGCTTTGGCTAAAAAAATGTGGGAAACCATATATGCAGATTATAAAAGATTAGTAAATAAAAGAAATAATAGAAATAAAAAACTTATATATATCACAGTCATTGCAAACAAAAGACTCAGATGATCATTATTTTCACCATTCTGAATGACAAGGATGATGATAGCTCTAAAGTAAAGTACTTCACTTACTCCTGTGAACACAGTAATAGCATCATCAACCTTAACTCCGTCCTTTGGACATGATTCACGCCATCTTTGCCAGATTCCCCTAACACTAAATTTTGGCATGAATTCAACCTTCAAAGACACCAACAAACATATTATAACTGAAACTAGAAAGGTCAAACAAGATTAATATTAGTTGTTGGGAAGAGCTCTTGTAGCAGACAGTAGTAATTCAACGCCATTAATTTGGTGAAACTAAAAAGAAGGGTTAGAATTTACCAAAGCACCAGCGTAAAGAGGCGCAAGTAGAGCATTGAAAAGACCATGAACATGTAAGTAAAGGTTAAGTATCCAAATTTCATATTTATGCCTTCAAGTGTATAGTAAACATGACAAATATAAATGAAAAGTCTGCAATAAGAATACCAAAATACGCAAAACAAAATGAACTGGTTCTTTATTCAAAAAATGCATTATGCTCAGTGGATATGGTGTAAGGGTAGACAATGCAGAAACTGATCGGAAGAGGTATATCCCCAGGCTTCTGTCAACATCTGAACCTGCAGTTTGACCCAAAATTGCAGCCAAAAGATTACTAACAAAACCAAATAGTATATGAAGGAATTGAGACAGCAAGAGGAGAATCAGAAATTGTAGTTTCTGAGAAAGTGTATTGGCAATACCACCTTGTATGCTAATTCTGAGATATCACATGCAGTAAATTGTTGCAAATATGTGAAACAATAATTTTGTCAAAGTGCACATGTAAAAACAACCAACTACAAAAAGTAATGTAAATACACATCTGCAGTGTTATATGTATAATCAGCAGCAGCAAATAAGAAACTTTCTTGGAAAAAGAAAAATATGCTTCGTAACACCCAGACAGCTAACTATGATGGACATAGCTAATAAGTATCAAATTTCTTAGTCTGTCAACTCTTTGTATTCCCCTATACATAGAGTAGAATGACTACAGAAACGGATATACAGAATTTCTGTTATTTGTATTAATAGCTACTCTAGGATTTTCTTGAAGAATAGAAGTCCTTAGGAGTTAGAAAAGGCCTTCTATGAAAGAGAAAAGACAATTGAAATTGTTCATTGATTCCCTCTTTTTTAATGAGCAAAGAAAATTTATTAATTTCTCATTAAAGTTTAGTATAACAGGTTGGAACTTCAACCGCCCAATAGTACAAGAAAGACTACACAAGTGTGATATAACAAAAAGAGTTACATTACTGCCCAAAACAATTGTTGTCTATAAACCCCCTGTTTTGCTAGAGTATCCACATCCTATTTGCAGTCCTTCTCACCCAATTAAAGGTGATGCTTAAATCCTTTCAGAGGCTTTCTATCTCCTGAAAGCATGCCTGTAGATCCAAGACAATTGTTCATTGGGTTTTTTTCACTTTTTTTTTTCATGCATCAGGAACAACAAAGTGGGCACATACATGATAAGGGAAACTGTAAAATTGTCATTGGAAATAGTAACACAATACAAATGGACTCCATAATTGGCTAACTCCTTAGCAGACGCTTTGCCAAAATCTGGGGTTAAAAGAATTAAAGGTTTTGCCATAGTTGTCAAGGCGTCGCCTAGGCGACTAGGCACCCTTGGCTGGGCGCCTCGCCCAAACGCCTTGACTTTTAGCAACAAGACACCCTTCTAGGCGACTAAGCACCTGCCTAGGCAACAAAAATGACAAGGCAGGTGCCTTTTATAATATCATTTATATTGCCGTATCTTATTAATGTATGTGTTAATACATTTTATCATATGCTATATATATCAATTATACTTTGTTTTAATGYTTTACTATTGAAATTTAAAAGATCAAAGGGTTTTAAGGAGAGAAAAAGAAAGAAAGAAAAGAAAGAGGAAAGAAAGAATAGAATAATAAAGTTCTTTTTTCTATTCTCTCTCTCCAATTAAATAAAACAGAAACTCCATCCTTGTTTTTTCCTTCTATTTTACTTTCTATCTTGAATATTTATCATATAAAGTTAATAACCTTCTTTGGCTGCTAATTAATATGAATTTGCTCTATTAAATACTTATTATAGTAGTATTATTTTCGAAAATAATGAAATTAATATATGTAAAAGATTTTTATCTTTTAGATGTGATAATTTGCCACGTTTTTAGAGGAAATGTTCTTAATAAAGAGAATTGCTATTTTTTCAATTAACATACATGCTGAATAATATATAAAACTAGGAAACTAGCCAAAAGTCAGTTTTTTTATATTATAGAAAGTTTATCACCTAGGCCGCCTAGGTGACTAGGCAACTAGGTGCCCCAGTGTCACCCAGAATTGCCTAGACGCCTTGAAAACTATTTGGGGTACCATACCAAATGGAGGGAATGTGTACTCCAGGGGGTTATCTGAGGTAAACGACCCAAAATAGGCACAATGCACTTAATCAGTATATGTAATTTTATTCAAAGCAATAAAATTGTTTTACTGTTACCATTCAAAAAAAAAAAAAAATAGAGACACTAATCTTAGACTATGTGTTCATAATTTAGCAATGGATATGGCATTAAACAGAATAGAATGGTGAAAAGTGATTCATATAGCTAATCCATATAGTTGGCATAACGCTTAGATAATGGTGATTTTACACTACATCAAAATTACTGCATTCAGTAGGTCAAGAATGATGATGTACTTTGTAATTAGATTAGTACCTGTGCTGCGATGCTTTTGTGTGTGTGAACAACACCTTTTGGTTTACCAGTCGTACCACTAGTGTAAACAATCAATGCCGGATTCTCTCCTACACCATAAAGATTATTATCACTGAACTTTGTTTTACAATCCTATAAGTTGTAAAGTTATGAACCCTCGCAAGGCAGACAACCTTCTACAATTTTTGAGTTTTCAATTTCCTTCAACAGATCTTTCTCCTCTGTTTCTTCAATGGAATAACCACTGGGAACTGGTGGAATAAGAGAAAACTGAGCAGCACATTTAGAAGCAACATTCTCCATAAGCTCTTGATAATCTTCAGTACTCAGAAGCATGGAAACGTCCTGTAAACAAAAGTGATCTAAGGCCTGTGTACATCATCCTGTGAGAAGACTAACAGCACTCAATTACAATAACAACATTTACTAGAACTTGGAAGTGGAATGACTTTCAAGCCTGTGCAGTTTTCAAATGAAATCTTCATAAGAAATAGTTCCAATTTAGCTTTGTAAGATTATACTACAAGCTAATTTGATCATCTTATCTTAATAATAACATGCCTAATCTGCTACAATCTCTGTATTGAGGAAAATACTATTGAAAAGGTGGGAAAATGATCCACAGAATCAGCAATCATATGAATGCTTAGAAAGAATGTATGAAATCATATTCTGATCAGAAATATGAAACCTGAACAGATTGAGTAAAACATGGGAATCAAAGTTTGGATTTTATGAGATAAGTAATACTARCATGTTTAAAGTAATATTATTCAATATACATAATAACCATTGGGTACATGGTTTTAAATTTCAATGAGATTTGTGGAATTTGGGGGCCCCATTCCAGCTTCAAAGTAGGTGGACTTAGAAGTTCTTAAAGAAAACAAAAAAATGTAAAATTAAGTTCTAGATAAGATAATTAAGATAAAGATAAAGATCAACAGAGAAGAAACAGGAAAGATATGGAAAAGTAGAGAACAAATAAGAAGGATAGAGATTAGAGAAGTAGGAAACATAGAGAAGAAATGGAAATAGAACTACCATTTTTGAGGGGTGGAGGGTAAGAAATCCTTCTCATTGGATTTCTAATTCAATCTAAAAGTTTTAGTCAAATTTTCAATTGTAGTCAAAACCTTGTATTGACACTTGGTTTGAATATGAAAATCTCAACTTTAGAAAAACAATGGCAGCATTTACTGAATTCTGACGATAAGAAGCCTTCACAAAAATCAAGAAAAGAATGTGAAAGAAAAAATAGGGAAACCTATTACATCCAGATATCTGGTTTTACTATAATGAAACCAATGAAGAAGAAAGGGAAAATGTTGCAGGACAAACCGAGTCTTTCATCACATGGAAGAGTTCAGCTTCTGGGTAGCTGAGTGCAAGTGGAACTGCAACTCCTCCACTAAGCCAGGTCCCAAGCATCCCAGCAACGAATTCAGCTGAAGGTTTAGCCACAATTCCTACCCGTGCTCCACCAAGATCTTCTATTCGATTAACCCCTTCTGCTGATACTGGAGATATTTTATTATTACTCCCATGGCATGTCTGAGTGACCAAGAAGCATAATATTAAGGGGGGGAAATAAGAGAAAAACATAGAAATGAAGAATAGAAAAAAGGTGCACATGGTATTACAACTGAAACCTGCAAAACGTGATAAGCATTTCATCCATATGCATTTAAAAGAAATGATGATTTTTGACTTACAGTTTTAGAGCTCTCATTGCGTAAAAGATTTGATATTTTGCAAGCAGAAGAGATGAGTTGAATGTAGCTGTAACTCTTCTGCTCTGCTCTAACAGCTATACTTTCACGTGCTGCAGATCCCTGCCTAATAGCTGCTTTGATCACCTCCATGAATGTACAAGATGATGGTACTGTACATGTGGATGTAGAGCAGAAAATGTAGATGCAATTAATAAAATTATTTCATTACTGGATAATGTAATGAAGTATGAGATATCATCACGACATCATCCAACCTTTTCACAATAAAACAAAGTAATAATAAGATCAGGACTTCAGTTCTCTTTTTCAGGTAATAACAAAGTAGCATCTTGGTTCAGTTTAACTAATTTGATCACTGACAAACAACAACAGGTTCTATCTGTTACTTCCTATTAAATGAGCTTCCACTATATTTATATTACCACAATTTCAGTTTAACTGCTGTAAAGTTAGTCACAGTCTAACAGGTATGAAAGGCTGCAAAAGAAAACGATAATTAAACATCCATGGATGCATCAAAATCCATTCTTACTTTCATCTACAATTAACAAAATGTAACCAACGTAGTACAGTATAGAAGTGAATTTTTAAAAATGCAAATCATCAGCGAGGAAGCAAACATCATTTTCTCGAGATAAAGAAAGCAAAAAAAAAAAAAAAAACAATTCCTAAAAGGAGAATGAATTACGGAGCTACAAACTCATCCAATCGGTTCCATTTCTATCCATTTTAATCTCCAATGTTCATCATCTGCAATTCAGAACAGAGAATGAGGTTGGAACAACTTACTTGAAAACAAGCGAGACTGAGAGATCGAGAAAGAGGGGTTTCTCTGACGAGATACAAACGGAATCCCTAAGTGTCTGAAACTCAAAGAAGTTGTAGTCTCTGGAAGTAAGCGAAAACTAGAGAGCGGCTTTAGGTAGGTAGTTGCCTTAAATGAGCTCATTTAGTCTTATTAATGGCCGCCCCTTCTGTTTTGAACTTTCACGGAAAGAGAGAATTGAATTGACTCAACAGGTTTAACTGCTGGCTTTGCAAAAACTGTATCTGGTTAGCTCTGACGGCAAAGGCGATTACTGATTCGTAAATCCGGAAACGGCGGACGCCGGACGCCGGACGGTCGGAGGATGGTCCCGGGTGGCGAATTTGTTCGATTTTAGTCATTTGACTCTGCCTTGTAAGCTTGACCGGACCGGATGGTTGAACCTTTACCAGAATGGGCTGACATTGTTTATCACGACTCCGGAGTCCCTTATCACATTGTTTAGATAACCGGACCCGGGATTGAACCATGGCCTTCCGCCATACCCTAGTAATTGGACTTGCTCAAAACCCGCTGAAAACCGGCTAATCGGCCAGTTGAATCAGAAAACTGATGAATCAGTCCCGATTTCATGAAACCGTTAAAGTCCTACATAAGTGAAATTTTAAAATATTATTGATGAAATTTCAATTCAAAATCTCTCATTTATTATATATATTACATTATTATGCATTTATTTTAAATGAAATGTAAATTAAAAGGTTTATATAGTATTTATATAATCCATAATATATATATGCATATACCACATCATCAAAATTCGACCCTAGTTGAATYTCTGACCCATGAATATCTCCCTTCTTCAGTTCTATGTTCGATCCGGTTTTATGAACATTGGTTTATCACAATATTTAGGCTGAAATGGGGTTCAGACTCTGATACAAGCCATTTAAACCGTTCTCACAAAACCATTGGCCCCTCATAAGGTAAACTCGGATTCATTCCTCACAAAACCGTGTTACAGTCACAACCTTTTTGCAGCCGTCCACCGAACTCCCTATTTCTCATGTACGAGGAAATATTTCCAATGCAAAATTGTAATGCTCTCCGATCTCTGGACTTAATGTTGAATGATGCTCACCCCGCAATATGTGGCAGTGGGATGAATTGAAGAAAGACGTTGGACCCCAACAAAAAAGAGATCGAATAGGGTTTGAATTTATTTTAGCAAAATCTCTGATTTAACCATATTTGCACGAGTTCAAATCAGCCCCCACAACGTCCCACAGTACATCTCGTCATGTATTGAAAATATCTCTTGATGATGATATCTAGAATGATGATGTCATCATCGGGAGATGTTCCCAATACATGACAGGGATGTGCTGTAAGACATTGTGGGGGGCAGATTCTGTCTCTATTTGCATATGGAACTGTGTACACGTGTTCGCAACTAATGTAATACATTGTGGGAACTGCATATTCCTCTCATGCTATTCTTTTGGAGTGTCAATTTGTCATTCTTAAAGAATAAGTTTTTGTTTTTACATTGTTTTCTCTCGGGAATGACTCATTTCTTATGTTTCTTTGACAAACATGTTTTTGTTCCATGAGGGTATCGAAAACCATGGTTTTCAAAACCGGATCGAACTGGATGGTTAGACCAGAAAAACCGGGACCTGACCAGTTCCGTTTTTCCCAAAAATCAGATTCCCCCCCAAAACTGTTGATTTTGGTCACCGAACCACTGACCCAGACGGTTAATCGTTCAAACGATTTTAACCATTTTTTATTTTTTTGAATTTTTTTATTTTTCTATCAAAATGGGCCTAACGGTCAGACCATTCGACCCGGTAGCCAGACCTCTAATTAGTTCAATCACTGGATCAGTTTTAAAAACCATGCCGAGAACTAAAATAACACTCTCACTAAACGTTGCCAAACGGTTCTGTGAGCACTGAATCCGTATTCATATATGGAGGCCGCAAATCCGCTACTACTCTAACAACTCAGATTTATTTCCCAAAAACACGCTATCCTACAACCGTGTTGTGGGAAGCAGTGATATCCTAATTGGTCAATCAGCGAAGTTGGTTGTATTTGTAATGGGATCCCCTCCTTACAAAAACTCTGCACACACCCTGAAATCGCATCACAATAGGATCATCACCATGATTTTAACACACATGAATGGAAGATAGGGAGGGAATCCAGGCCTATTTATCCACACCTTTTGTTATGTTCGCTGGCCATCAGTTCTGCTACTAACACTACGTACCCACAAGACATTACAGCCATGCACCAGCAACATAACATGATCTTGGATCTACTCCCATCAGGCATTGCAGAACCACTTCCAATAACATATCTCATTAATGACAATTAAGATGTTTAGTCAAGATGCAATGTATTGTGAGTAGCAGATCCAAACTCTGCTTTTTTAATTATTATTATGGTAGATAGTGTAGATCTTCTAGTAACAAATAAAGTTGCATACATCAAGTTTGAACACCTACCAATGTATTAGAATTTAAAGACACACGCACATGTTTATTTTTTCATATGTCCGAGAGAGGTGGTACAAAGCTGTTTGCTTTGTTATTACCACCAGATGTAGATGTAGTCATGTAGATATAGACTTGGCAATAAAATCACCCCATAATCCTCTCCCAATCACAATAAATCATGTCTACGTCCCATGCATGGAACTGACAATAACAAGATGTATATTGTTACTAGCCCAATTTACTAGTTGTGTTGTGAATATTTTGAATTCATCCATCCCCAAGGGTTTAGATAGAAGTAATAAAAAATGATTCAGGGGCTGTTTGGTAATATGGTTATTTTCATTATAAATGGTGTCACATCAATAAGAAGAAAACCATTTGGTTAGTCTGTTTCAAACAGATTTGTTAAAAAAAAAGAAGGATCTGCATTGTATTTCAAGACATTACTTTGCTCCAATTAAGGGTGTAGCTTAGGTTAGGTTGGGAATTTGTTAATTTTTTAATAAACTTGAACCCTCTAATCCTAGTTGAAATTATTCAAATCAGGCAACCTAACCTGTAGTCCTAGAAAGGTTTAAGGTGAATCGATACCTTTTTATTTATTTTATTTTATTTTTTCAAAATCGGTTAAAGGGGCCGATTTAGAGCTCCTCCACCCCCTGAACCGGTCAGACCCCTGATACACCCACTGTAGGAGCGTATCGGAGAGGTCCTGGAACGATACGTATCGGCTGATACATGTCGATACTTTAAACCTTGAGTCCTAGTTCTGACCACCTTTTTTTTATTTTCATACATATGTAAACCCTAAACCTTAAAATCTAAACTCTTGATTCCTAAAACCCTAATTAAACCTTAAACCTTAAAACCTAAACTCTTAATAACATTTCATGGGGTTTTTGGTGAATGTTACTTTTAACTACGACGTGTGGTTTCAACCTTGGGCCAAAACAGTATACCACAGCCATGATTTCATTATTTTAGTYCAGGGTTAAAATCACAGTGAAGCAAAAGCAAACATATGGTGTTTGGCAATGTGTATGGTTTTTGTATTTGAAAACAAAAACAGCACATAGATCAGCACAATTATATTATATGATACTTGTATTTGTTTTATAAATAAATAAATAAAATCACACATTGCCAAATACACCCTAAAATGGCTTCCTCAAGATTACCAACTTTGAGGCATTTGGAATCACTAATTTCTAAAAAAAAAATAAGTGTTTAAGCATTTTTTTTTCGGTGTTTTAATTTGTTTAAGTGAAATAATGTTCAACTGAACATAGTACTGTGTTTTTTACAAAACACATGCAGGTGTTTGCACATTAATTTCAAGATTGGATCACCTACCAACAAAACATGTTCCAACCCTCTACCAACATCATCTCATACATGGCAGGTCCTACTTTTATGGTGGGTCTCAGTCTCAAGTTAAGATGTACAGTGTGAAATGATGTTGGTAGAGGGTTGGAACATGTTTTATTGGTGGAATATCACAATTCGCATAATATTGCTGCTGACATAGACACATTGCTTTCATGTTGTAAATCTCTCTATTTTGGCTTTTGATGAACAATCAGCTTGCCAAATTAATTTATGTATCAATGTTTTTTCTTTTTGGAGAAGGTGAAATCATCAAATCAATTCTTCTTACTGAACGTAACTTTGAAACTGCTGCTAGAGCCCCTAATAATATATTATCTATATATTGTCTTGATTAAGACTGCATTTGTCATTCCTTATTTTAAAGATTTATCTCTTTTTTAGTAGTTAAAGTGCCCTTATGAATACTCAGTTTTTAAAAGAATGCCAAATGCACCCTAAATCATTTCTTATTACCTCCATCGAATTCCTTTTTTCAGTCCACCCCTAATTCTTTTAGTCCGTTTGACTTGTAATGGATCACTTTTTCTACTATTTTTATTAGGTGGTCTTCTATGCATGTAACCAAACCATCTCAATTCTTAAGTTCCTGTTCCTCCATATGACTTCATTTCTAATATATATTAGAGCATTCATATTCCGGTCATAGTACTCATTTCTAGAGGTGTCAACAGTATTCAAAAATCCGATTTCAAATTCGATATTTGATATAATCGAATCGAATTCGGATCATTCGAATATATAATCAGTCAAATTCAGATATTTTATTCTTACCGAATAGTTAATCAGATTCGAATCCGGATATGACCTAATTCGATTCGATAAATATCCAAATTCAACCGATTATTTAATTCTTATATACAATATATAAAATATTTTATATATTTATATATTTTATATCAATAAAATATTTATTTTTATATTTATTAATTATCTAAACTAATTAATTAATTGAATTCAAATCAAATCAAATATTCAAATATTTAATCGGATTCGAATTCGGATATTGCTTGATCCGATTCGAATTCGATCCGTTTACACTCCTACTCATTTCTAACCCTCGTAATATATTTATTATGAAAATCTTTTGCTGATGTTTTATCCTTCATGGTTACCTTTGCTATGAGTAGTGGAGGTAGTTTATGTTTGTTTACTTTAATTTGGTTATTTGAATTAGCTACTAAAACTCTACACATGCTAGGGTATATAAACTCTGCACAAACTAGTCATTTCAATTCTATGATATCTAGGTAGGGATGGAATTCATATCAAAATTCACTCGCATAATCCAAACAAATCCTAAATTATATTCAATTCATTAAAACAGAGATGCACCATGAATAGAAATCCATCTCTTTTTTTTTGTGAAAAATAGAAATTTATCTCATAGTTTTAAGAAATTAAAAAAAAAATTGTGTACAACTTATTGCATACTTGGCATAAATCAGATCTCGAATTGTTATTTTATTTTGTAATTGCACTTACACATGAAAATGGTTTAATTTTTCTTCTTGATTTCTATATAGATAAAGCCCAATATCTACACCACAATGAAAAAAATCGTACAAATAGAAGAAATTGTAA